CCCTAGCAGGTACCAGCACCTGTATAAAGTGTGGATATGTGCGTTATTGCAAAACAACTTCGGTTTTGGTTTCTAAGAACCCCCGAAATTACTTCTACAAAGAGACACGCCTACAAAGCTCAGTTCAAGCTTCAAGCCATCGGTTATGCGGAGAAACATGGGAATCGAGCAGCTGCGAGAGAATTTCAAGTCAACGAATCCATGGCTCGCAAATGGAGGAAGCAGGAGAACGAGCTTCGCCAAGTCAAAAAGACGAAGCTGAGTTTTCGTGGACAGAAGGCGAGGTGGCCCGCGTTGGAAGACCAACTGGAGCGGTGGATTGTTGATCAAAGAGCAGCCGGCAGAAGCGTCTCCACAGTCACCATTCGACTGTGTACTCACGTTTTTTGATCAATCAAAAAACGTGAGTACATTGTAAGCTGGCTAAATAAAATGCAACTGAACTCAGTTTTGCTTCCGTTGCCTTTTTAAAACCGTGTTTTTAGCGTGTATCCGTATGTCTTAGCATGCTACCGTATGCTTCAAGCTAACGTGTTTTTAGCGTGCGTGCACGCATGCCGTATGTTTAAGCTGGCGTATGTTTTACCACTGTAAAACTGCGCCCAATAATACAGTGCGTTTTGTCTATGTGTAAAATACCAAAATAGCACCCGTTAGTGAGACTGCGCCCAACAATACGGTGCGCCGAATGGTTGTGAAAATACGGTAGGCCTTTTTGGCATAAAATTAGACAGTGGGACATGAAGTACTGTAAATGTGTTTATTGCTGTGACCTCTTATTTTGCTGACGGCCTGCATTTCTATATCTTTTGCACCCTGTCCCACTCTAGAGCAACTCAGAACAAGCTTGGTACACTAACAAACATTGTTTTTAATTACGTCAATCCACAGTAACAGAACACAGCCATAAAACCAAAGACGCCCTGAATGTCAGCGATTGTTCAATTTAAATAAAGGACTGATGGAAATGTATGGCCATAGGAAAATAACTACCCGGGGCAACAATAACAGGAAACAAATGCTTTTCAATGGCCTCACCTAACAGTTTCTCGGCCAGTGTGGTGAGTTGCTCAATGGTCAGGCCTCTCTTTGTGGTGGACGAGAATTGCCAGCTGAGCACTTCAGCCACCTGGTCCCACGTCCCCACTGGCGGTTTGGTGAAGAAGTTCACATTCTGTCCGAGGATGCACAACACTGTAACGCTTCGGTTTTTTCCTCCATGTCTCCCGTCCAGCCCCATTTTGTGTGTCAAGGCTGTTCCCATAGTGGCGGCTTTGCACACAGGGGAATCGCCTTACCTTTGGCTGATCGGTGAGCATGTTGTACCACAAGATGGACGCCCAGGCATTTGGCATCTGGCAGATGTTAGATATGACCACTACGGGGAGCGAATGCGTCTGCACAAAAGTGTTGGAAATTGCACCTCAATTTAGCTTTAATGCAAATTTTCCGGTGCACATTTGTTCTGTGCTGATAGCTTGTCTTGTCACTAAAACAGTGAACCCCCCGCCAATTCACAAATCATGAGTAGGTGAGTAGAATCTGCTCGCACATTTTTGGGGTTAAAACCGAACGAGCAACTATTCACTGAAAAGCTATCAAGAAAACAAGACTTCTGTCATTTTGTTTTTTAGCTTGAGATTTTCAATCGTCACAGACTGAACAACTGTGTCTTCTGCCTTGGCACAAATTAATACTGTACTTTCCTATTAGTTAAGGCTTTTGCACCGTTGTGGGGCATCTTAGGGCATAACAGAAAGGCAAAAATGGCAGCGCTAGAAAAAGGTGATGGAAAATTTCTGATTTCTGATTCATTTTTGTACATTTTTTTTGCAGCAGTTTAGCTCACACTTGCTGACTTGCTTAAAACTAACGAATGAATCATTGAGTATGTTTGTCATAGTTCCTGTTTGATTTAATCAGCGTGGCATGGGACCATCTTTCTGGGGTGAGAGAAGACACCATTAGTCAGATAAAGCACAGTCAATGTTGAGTGAAGTTAATGTGTCGTAACTAAGAAATGTATAAATAAGAAGCTCAGAGAAGTATTCATTATAAACAATGACTGCTTTTTTACTGCATGAATGTTGTTCCCTCTGACAAAAAGTTGCAGTTTCTGTTTTGCGGGGGCGTCCATGAATTGCAAATTTGGGCTTGGCAAGGATTCACTGAGGCGCTTCGAAGTCAACCGCCCAATGTCTCAGATATTTATAATTGTCTCCATTCCAATTTCCACTGACCTCCAGATCAATCTTCAGGCCTTGGTGATAGACTTCAGTCTCAAAGGTGATCAGATGGAGCTCCTCGGTGACGATAAGAGATGCCTAACGAAGAACACACCCTTATGTCAGCAAAAAAGTGTGTGGGTGGGATACCATTGCGTGCAGGTATTGCAGTGGCGCCTACGTCACTATTGGTGCGTCCACCGTTACCACACCGCTGCTCTCTGAGGGTCTGCAACAAAACAGGAAGCCGGGGTTCCACCGTGAGGAAGTGTGTTTGAGCAGCTGACGGGAGCAGGTTGCACCTCTGCAACTCACCAAGTGTTTAAACTCTGCCGACAAGCTGCCGTTGTTGGACTCCTCCATGTTCATGACTTTGGTGTTAGTGCCGAGGATGTTGAACTTTCTGGACCTAAAACGAAAGGCAAAAAGCAGGAAGTGAGACTTTCGATAGTACATTTTTAATGTCTGGATGTAAGAGTTTGGGAGACCTTACCCTCTGATTGCAGCCACGTCCCCAGACTCCCTGAAAAATTCAGTCCTCATATATTCAGTAAGAAGGCTTGGGTATGCGCATAACAATAACCATTTTAAGAACTCACTTGTCAATGCAAACTTTAATTTTCAGCTGGTAATTGAGCTCAGGAAACTTCACAAGCAGCCTGGAAGGATAATCGCGTTAAAAGTTAGAACATCTTGCACGAAGCTAGGATGCTAAACTAGATTAGCAAAAATATTGGGACACATGACCTCGACAAGAGAAGAAAGTATGGATACGGTCCACAATTTTGCAGCTATAACAACTTCTAGCCTTCTGGGTAAACGTTCTACAAGGTGAGCGGGGATTTGTGGGGAAGTGATCACTGGTTGTGGACCTAAAAGCAGGCTTGTCATCTCATTTCTTGTTCAATTCAAAGGTGTTTGATGGGCTTTTTTTCCACACTACCCTCGTACAGCACGCCTTTACAATTCTCGCCTCATGCACTCGGAAAAGAAAAGCGCCTTCCTGAAACTGTTCCCACAAAGTTGGAACCAAGCAAATGAAGGATTTGTCCGATTCTTGTGTGTCTGGATGTGTCCCAAAGATTTATGTCCATATGTAAAACGAAGTGGAGGACATTCTCATTCTTACCTGACTTTGTTTGTGAACTGCACGCCTGTTTTGATGACCAATGGTCTGTCTGGGTGCATGGGCATGCACGGCTGTCTTTCTACCACAAACGCACTGTTGAGCCACAATAACACAATGACACACTTTAATATAGAAGAAAACAAATGTCATAACTGTTCAAATGAGTGGTATGCGTGTTCATACTTCAGCCCTACCTCTTCATGAGGTTTCTGAACAAGTCCACAATCTTCTCCTCGAGTGCGGGCCGGTGCTGGACAATGGGGTCTCCCTTGTACGACACCTTTTGTTGAAGCTCTTCCAGTTTCTTGATCTGCTGCCGAATCTGGAGCTGGGACTCAGCTAAGGACGTGATCCTGAATGTTGTGAAATGTTCAGATTAAACCGCTGATCAAAATAATCAATCCGGTCAGTCGAATGACCCCAAAATAATCAATTTAAATACTTACCATGTTTCCAGGCGGTCAAGGCAGATGTTCGGCGGACCTCCGATGCAGGCGATTTGCTGTCGTCGCTTCCATTCGGCCAGTTCTTCGTCTGTCAGGTTCTTCTGTACGTAGTCCATTGCGGTCAGTAAGCCTCCCATCTCTGTCACAATTTGCTGGGGGAAAAAAAGTGACAACATTGTCCAGACAACAGCTGTGACTAATGAGTGAGCTGATTCAAAACAATAAGATATGTGAGCACACCCGTCTGAGCTGGTCCAGGGTACTCAGCATCTGCTCCAGCTGAGCCATTTTTTGCCTGGTAGCTGCTGCCTGGCTATTCCCGTTCAGGTCCTGGTTCAGCTCTGCAAACAAAATGTTTTAAATGTAGATTTGCGGTCACATTGAATGCAAAAACTCGAAAAATGAGTATATATTACCTCCTTGGCTTTTCAATGTCTTGTAGTTGAAATCAAAGTCGTCCTGCAGGTTCTCCAGCATCTTCATCTTCTGTTCCATGTCCTGTTGGAAGAAAGAGGGCATCTCAAAGAGTGACCTACAATCTACTAAAACGTAATTAACTAATGAAAACAAGACATTCACCATCTCAAAAAAATTAAATAACAAATAATAATAAACAATCAATGGCTGCCCGGTGGTCCAGTGGTGAGCGCGTCGACCTCACAGTGCTGAGGTACCGGGTGCAATTCCAGCACCGGACTCCCCGTGTGGAGTTTGCATGTTCTCCCCGGGCCAGCGTGGGTTTTCTTTGGGTACTCCGGTTTCCTCCCACATTCCCAAAACCTGCTCAGCAGGCTGATTGAACACTCAAAACTGTCCCTAGGTGTGAGTGTGAGCACGGATGGTTGTTCGTCTGTGTGTGTCCTGCGATTGGTTGGCAACCGGTTCAGGGTTTCCCCAGCCTACTGCCCAAAGATGGCTGGGATAGGCTCCAGAACCCCCCGCGACCCTTGTGAGGGTAAGCGGATCGAAAAATGGATGGATGGATGAATAAACAATCAAAATTAATTTTAAAATAATTCCGATTTAGGAAGCAAGTGGCCTTCCTAAAAATATTTTCCTGTGTGTTTACCGTATATTTTATACATTTTACTTTTTGAACTGAACCACCCTAACAATCTACAATATTCTTTATTTATTAAAATGACATTTTGGCAGGCATGCTCTCACAGCCCTGACGTAACATTGCTTGAGCACTGCTACTCGATTGCAATCATGTGTGGAAACTTGAGCAGAGAACGACAAGCTCAGCCTCCAACTGCATTGCACTATTAATAAGAGCCAATTAAAACATCTGACACGCAATACTGCGAATGTCAAGCGGCGTGACACGCAATAAAAGGCGTGGAAATGACACGTTGAACACGGAGCGTAAAAGAGGCACATGTGTCTGTGGCTCCACCCATACCAAAGCATTTGGATAAGGCCTCCATCTTGTACTCTCTGGAGCTGAGTAACCACGGTGGGGGGAAAACAGTTCATTATCCTTTTAGAATTTTTTTTATACTTTCCTAATTTAAAGTTTGAACATAACATGCATGTTATGGGAATGTGGCAGGAACCCAGATAACAGGAAGACTGAAGCAGAGTTTCGAACCCCGTATATCAGAACTGCGATATACACGTGCAAACCGCGAATGCGTCATGCCGTGGGAAAATATCAACATATGTCAAAACAAACCTGCACTCGTTTCCTGATGTCTTGAAGGTTGTGTTCCAGAATCTGCTGCTTCTCTGTCACCACTGTCCCTGTGGGGTGGGCGGCTTGTCCGTCCTGATCGTGACATGTTGAAGCTATGTCATGATATCGACCGAACAAATAAAAACTGATCATTGTGTGCCGTTTCGGACCTGCGCAGCAGCGGTGGCCGTCTGTAGCAGCCGTTGCTCCTCCCACAAGCAGCGAGCGACGATACGGGCGATGTCCATGGGCTTCTCCAGGTACTTGCTCTGCAGGTGCTGCTTGATCCGCCTCAGGTTGTGCTGGTAGAGGACGTTGTTCTCCTGCAGGAAGCGGCTGTACTGCTGGTCTATCTCGCCCAGGAGATTATGGAACACCAGGGTGGCATGAGACTCCTTCTTAGCGGCGAAAGTCCTTTCAGGACAAAAAAAAAAAAAAGACTGATGAGTCAAAGTGAAAGTCAACATTTGTCATTTACATAAAAAACGTGGGTGTATACAGAATGCTAAAACTGTACATTGTGTGAAGTAAAACGTGTGGATGGGATGAGATGCTCTTCTGTTGCGTTGAGCGACAAGATGACTATCCAGCATTTAGTTGAAAATAATGCAAAGATCAAATATTACAAAAACAATTAGGCAGTTAGAGAAAGCGGCCATGTCTCGTTCAAGAGAGCGTCTGCACTTCCCGCTCTATATACAGTACGACTGGGCCCGTGGCTTTCACTAAGAAGCCAAAAAAATGGAAGGAAAAGCCTACTAGAACATCAGAAATTCATTTGGGTTTAATCAGAGGCAACTTAAAAGGTGACAGATGTGTGCTGACTCCCATTTAACATGACTTTAAATGTGATTGTTTATTCTGTACACAGCCACATCCCAGCTATAAGAGTGTGTGCACAATTGTGTAATCGCCTTATATCAGTAGGTCATTATTCCTTTAAAAAATATTTAATTGAGTTGTACAGTTTATAGGTCACATTAATGGTAAAAAAGTTTTGCAATGATTAACTTGGTCTCATTTCTTGATATCACAAAAACATGAGAACAAAACATTAAATCCATCATTCACAAACAACTAAAAAGAAAACACGAACAGGCACTAATAATCATAAAAATTATGATCGTTGCCTCATGTGATTGCTGATTCCCGTTAAGGAGTCAAAAATGAGGAACAAGACAATAAACAGGACTTTAACAACTCAGTTGTCGATCCCCAGGACGTGGTTATGACCGAGCAGGAAGTGGTTTGTAAAAACAAATCTAATTGTTTTGCGGAAAATGGGTCATGACTCTTCACACTCTTCGTTCCAGTCGAACTTGTCACTCACCAGTCCTGACTTTCAATCCAGGGCGCGAGGAACTGCCGCAGCTCCATGGGGAAGCTGTCGCTGTACAGGTGGTACAGCTGCTCCAGGTACCTGGTCTCCAGCTGTTGCAACTGGTTCCACTGGGCCATCTTGACCGATGCGAGCCTAAAAACAACAAAAGAAACATGACCACGTGCTTTCAGGGTGCTCACTTCCTGTAGAGTGAAGCCAACACCTGCTGTTTCATCAATAAAGGACTGACGGCTCTTTCTCTTGCCTGAATGTTGTAAAACCACAAATAGGATTAGAGTTACAGTCACGTAGTTGTAACCTGAGAGTCTAGAGATGGCTTCATTGATTATCAATTAGTTGCAAGAAGCAGGTTGTATCCGCTAGCTTGTCTTACAGCATGCTACTGTACAGCATTCCCAGGAGGGGATCAACAAAAGCCTTTCCTTATGACCGTATACAATAACCACTGTAAAATGTATTCTTGTAATTATTATTATTTGTATTATTATTATTGTTGTTGTTGTATGTCACAAAAGAAGCAATTAAGCAATAAAAGGGGGCAGAAAGTGAGGTGAAGTTGTCAGTGAATAATATGGTAAACGGGCTGTCACTTAAATAGCGGTTGACAGTGTTACCGCATTCACCGACTGATGACGGAGCATCAAGAGTAACTGGGGGTTCAGTATCTTGCTCAAAGAGAGCTGTCAATTTCTATTAAATGCACTGTAGCATTAAAACGTTGAGCATTTTTGCAAGAGGAGGGCTGCTGTGTTGCTTGGATTTGTCAACGACTGTGTGCTTTTATGTAAGCAGGCAGTGCAAGGCGGCTCACGGCCATGTTGTCCTGCAGCAGGGATGGAGATGGGCGTGACTAAACAACAAAGCGAGCTAATTTATATCGAAGTTAGCAATAAATCTATTTTAGCAACGATTTATGGTGTGAACATGCTCAAAATAACGATTTGCAGTTTTAAATTAAGGGACTGGGCCTAGCCCGGGCTTCTTGAACTCATCTTTTGCCAATGAAACTTATGTAACCCTAAATATTTCGCCAGCATATTTTTTTTATAAACTGAACACAATGTAAACAACATATATAACAACTGATCTAGTTTTTTTTTTTAATTGTCGTCTACAGACAATAATGTATGACAACAACTCCCTCAAAATAACAGATAAGCAAGTACAGTACTCGTTACGGCTGTTTACCTGACTTGTAATAAACCTTGCTCCTTCGGGAAGCTTCGAGTGAAAAAAATGCCAGTCCTCACTACTTTTCTCCAAAAATGTGTCAGTAAAAAGAGAGAGACGCAGAAAAGTGTCACAAGTTATGCACACACGTCGTCGCGAGCTTCCAGTCCGCAGCCTGTACACATTGCGGCGTTTCCAGCCAAACGAACGCCATATCTGCTTAACTGACAACTCTGTCCGCAAATAGCTGCAAAACATAAAGTATTGAAGCCAATCAAAAATTAGAATGTCCACAGAAAAGGCGGGGTTTAGAAGTTTACAGTTCACAGTCGTGTTTCACTGCTGTCGCAACAGCGCTGTTCCTGAAAGAAAAACCTCCCTGCAAAACGCTATTGAATAACCTCCCACATCCGAGGGAGTAACAACAGTTCAACGCAACAGCCAGCCTGGAAGTCATCTGAATTACTGGCAGCGATGACGTCACCAACGCTATTGCCGTTCATTTTTGACCCTTTGATCAATATTTACGAGAAATATAAATATTAAGTATGGATTTTAGTAGTACAAAATATATTTTGTATGTTAGCACAGGGCAATACTGCTGAAATGTGACTAATAAACAAGTTGTGTGTCTAAATAATAGCGAATGAAAAGTTATGTGTCGATAATTTAAGAAAGAGTTGAAAATGAACGCGCGTGTGTGTATGTGTGTGTGTGTTTACTATCAATCATTGCTAATATATATACAAAGGAAAGGCAAAAAAAAACACACAAGGGAGAAAAATATTCATGCTTTATTATTCGAATGTCACATCTTGAATAGTATGATTCCTGTCTTTTTTCAGTTTTCATGTTTGCCCAGGTGAGGGGAACCCCCGCCCCCACCCCGAGACGCCATGCACTCAGAAAAACAATATTTAGAGTACATTACTTACAGCATTTTGTGGATTTCCTTAATATGATACTATATTTTACAGGTAAATCAATGCTTGATTCACACAACAATGCCATACACTCATCAGTAACTGATTATTTCAATACTGTAATGCATAAAAAACTATATGAGCCCTTTTCTGATCCAACTGTATTTTTGCTTATTGCTGCAATTAAATCACTATCGGTTGCATCACAGCTCATTAGAATAACACCAGCACACACTTCATATTTCTGGTATTCATTGTTCTGTTCTGTACTCTGCAAGCTGCTCCAAGGCAGCACTCTCCTTCATTGCATTCTAAAGCTCATTGATTATTTGGAGGGCCTCCTGTGCTACATAGTGGGTTTATGAACAACCGCAACGACGTCACAGTCACACACTACAGTCTCTAAGCATAGGAAATGGATGCTGTGTACCTACGGATGGAAAAGTGGACGCCAGAACATTGCCTGTTTGCTCCACGTTCACAATAGTTACACTTAAATTATGGAAACCTTTTTCAGGTCCTCACAACCGCACAACCAACAGGTGAGTGTTGCCTCCCACTGAATATGATTGGTTTGATTCTGAATGCAGCAACACCCCCAGTTATGAGATGTGCGTTCACTTGTGCAACATCATTAACTGAGTTGTTGTTGTTGGTTTTTTTTTTTTTTTTCCTCTATGAAAAGAATTTCATATTTTCAGTTATTGTCAGTTGTAGGTGCCAATCACGGAGGGAATTTTTTTTTGAACGAGTTAACTTTTTGTTCTCGTTTTTATATCATGAAATATCATATTTGAATAGGGGTGTGTAGACTTTTTATATCCACTGTGCATTCCATTCCGTACAACAGTGACATGGAAAGGGAAGTTCTGAACATACAGAGAGTAACTATGGCATTAAAAATATCATTTAATTTTGCCCAAAATCAATTGAGGTGATTTAATCAACTGCCCATCCATAATGAGATGTTATTATATTTGGTTTTCCTTTACCTTGTGAGAATCCTTATGTTGTTATGGCGACTGTGCTTTCCCCTCACCTTCACTTTTGACCACAGGAGCACCCTAAGACCTACCCTGAAACCTTCCAGACGACTTTCCGTTACCCTCGCGCCACACGTGTGCACACCGAACATGGCAAATAGATTACTATACATCACAACAACAAAGAATATTTATACCTTTTTGTTATCCTAGCTGGCACTCTATCCATGAAAACGACAAGCGAAAAGCATAAACCGGTCCTGTGTAAAAAGGTGTCGGCTATTAGTGTTGCTTATTTTCCCTTGAAATGTGGAAAAGTGAAGTGAATATGAAACACTTTTGGGTACATAGAAAAAAAAATGGAACAGGTGTGAATATTTGCATCGAGTCCTCGTGGCTACTGATGTGTCCTCATGGAGATTACGTGTTTCCTCTGCCGTTTATTGGGATGGATTCTCTAGTCACGCTGGGTCTTCTCTAGGTGGTCTGCCTCTACTGTTACCAGCTGAGGGTCCTTCAGCATGGCCTCCATCTCCAGGCTGTCGACGCTTACCAGCTGCTCCTCAACCGCATCCACGTGCACGCCCAGCCCGTTCTCCTCGCCGCCCGCCTCCGTCTCCTCAGCCGTGGCGGCAGGGTCCGCCACCGCCACCTCCTCCGCGCCGTCGCGGATCTTCTTGACGTAGAAGGTGAAGGGGGGCACGCGGTAGACGCTGGTCTTGGAGCGGGCGTAGACGGTGTGGTCGGGCGTGAGGGACTTCTTCACTTTCTCCTTGGAGCTCTTCATCTTGACCCGGCGTTCCACGTTGGGGGTCATGCGGGTGCCCAGTTTGTTCATCTTCTGCTCCAGGTTGTGCTTGGTCTTCTCCAGGTTGGCGCGGGTTTTCTGCCTGGTCTTCTCTAGATTCTCACGGGTCCTCTGCTTGGTCTTCTCCAGGTTCTCCTTGGTCTTCAGCTTGGTCTTCTCCATCTTTTCCTTGGAGAAGGCCTTCTTGATGCTGTCCACTTGCCTCTTGGTGGAGCGCTGGAGGCGCTTGGTTCGGGACTCCTCCACGATCTCCTCGATCTCCACCTCGTCATCTGAGTTGAGCTTGGCCGGTTGGCCCTCGCCCTCGCCGCCCTCCTCGGGTATCTGCTGAAGACCCTCCACAGTCCCGTCCTCAGAGACCGCCTCTGACGGCTTAGGTATTTTTGCAGCCTTCATTTGGTCCTGAAAAGAGGTAATAGGAGAAAAAAAAATTAGCTGCAGCAGAACTTCAACTAATAAAAATAATTTGATATGTGATGAAATGCAAAACCATTTTCCTAAAATGGAATGCAATGATTCTTGATAGAGAGCTATCACAACAGCTGCAGCTGAAACTAAGCGCTTGACAAAACATTTGACATCAAATAACAAAAATGCAACTGAACACAAGACAAAACAAAGTATATTATGAGGACTGGGTGAGGACTGGAATTGAAAGCATACTGAGTCATTTACGAAACGTTCATGGAGTGCCAAAAGCAATTGCAGAGTGCCACCCAGTGGCTGCACGCCGCCTTGGGTGGCTATCAAGGCATCATTGCTCAACCAAATTGAGGTTGATGTGGTTGTTATCGAAAAGCTCATCTCAACAATATCTGTTAAGCGACACGGTTCAGAGGATGCGACTAATTTCATTCTGCATTCACTTTGTCAGACTGAGGGAAGCGCATGTTCATTTCCTGCTTTGTTTCAACCATCGCCCAACAACGCTTACGCAAGCTCAAAGCTCTAACTTTCATTTCCAAAGGAGAATGAATACATACTAAAACTGACTATTCAGATAGCAGGCCGGCGACAGATTTCATATCAATCCATTGCAGTCACACCAGGTTTCTCTGCGAGTATCTTCATCATCATCATCATCTACAAATTCATTCTTCTGACCATAATTTCATTTCCATGCCATTATTAAAAAAAAAAAACATGACATTATTCAAAACTGAATAAATGAATGATCATTCTGTTAAGGGCTTGGTCCATAACATGACAGAAAATAGGAAAAATCTTTGAGACAAGGTAAAAAAAAATGTTTTTTTTAATTTTGATTCAACACCAAAGTAAATGGTCCGTTTTCATGGACGACCACAAAAATCAGACATGTATGGATGAGAAGCCAAGCATTTCGATCATATAAAAAAAAGGTTTTCAAATCTTTTCATCGATGATTAAAAATATTAATCAATTAATTTGATAATCAATTAGTTGTATTATTATTAATTGTTGTGCGTCTAATTCTACATAAATATGCAAAAGAATATTTATGTTATAATATACAAATAATATGTGCTGTAAATACACAATAAGTAATACAAATGTTGCAAAAACACATTCTACATAAAAATAAAGCAAATTTAAAATTAGTCAATGAATGAATACTCATCATACAATTAAAAAACATCAAAATCAATGCATTCAAAAAAACTAATCAATATCTAAATGAATGAAAAACATGTCGTTAGCATATTAAAAAAAAGAAGAGAACGAAAATCAAATGAATGAATTCACCTGAGATGAGACATCAAGCTAATAGAATGCACTTTGGATCCCTGCACAAACAAAAGCTTTTTTTTTTTTAATTCATGAAAAATCTCAGTAAGGTCAAGGTCGACACAAAGAAATGAAATCGTCTGACTTGTCAAAGTCAAGACAGCAGACAGATCAAAGAAAAGGCCCAAGCCCATCAGCGACATATGATCTCGCTGTAAAAGTGGACATTCCCTCCCCGTGGAGTGGAATGGACTGGGTCCGGGTGGTGCAATTCTGTCTGCGCGGGTTTATTCTGGGCTGGCCTTTTCCTCTCCCTGGATTCCAACTGACATTTCTCTGGCCACCCGCCAGCCCTATACATGGACACTGCAGCCAACCTGCCCTAACCCCCCCGCCCCGCTTCCCCTGCCTGCTGCATGGCAACAGGTAAACACGAGGACTTGTCGTCACGGCAACCAGCTCCACACCTCGCCTGGAGCAGCTGGTTTAGTTCAGAAGGGCAAGCAGCTGACGCCATGACAACGCTACGCCGGGATGAAAGTCGAAGCATCTTAATTAAACAAAATGAACGGCTGCTGGCTCTTTGCACACAAAAGGAAGTGATGTCATGAGGTGGAAGTTGAACATAAAACCATTTACTCAATTCAGTCGAGGTAATCTGCCCGGATTCTACAGTAATCCCTCGTTTAGTTTGAGGGTTACATTCCAAAAAGAACCCGTGACAAGTGAAATCCGTGAAGTAGTGAAAATTGGGCAAGCTGTACAGCGATGAGGCGCAGAGACCGGTGACATTAGTTTACAGTCCCTTAGCCAATCAGGATGCAGAACACAATGTATCCTAAAAAAAATGCACGGAAACAAAAACTCTTTGAAACAGCAAAGCCATGAAAGATAAAGCATGTTAGAGCGAGGGATTACTGTATTCAAAAATTTATAAGTACCTGTGGCTAAAAAGTGAAGTGTGGACAGTCTCTGTCAATGTAATGCATCCAAATAATGAATCAAATATCCACACACTCTTTTCTTTCGTGCGTGTTTCCTCTCTTTGTAATATTTTAATATCACTATAGTAGCCTGGACAATTTGCTTCTTCCTTGACAATCGCCATATGTTGTTTGTGAAATAAAAACAGCACAGTATATGTGGGGCGGGCGGCACGGTTGTCAACTGGTTAGCACCTCCGCCTCACATCGAAGAGGTGCAGGGTTTGATTTCGGCTGTGGCCTTCCTTTGTGGAGTTTGAATGTTCTCCATGTGCCCGTGTGGGTTTTCTCCGGGTACTCCGGTTTCCTCCCACATTCCAAAAACATGCATGAAATTGTCCCTAGGTGTGATTGTGAGCACGAATGGTTGTTCGTGTATGTGTGCCCTGCGATTGGCTGGCAACCAGTTCAGGGTGTACCCCGCCTACTCCCAGAAGACAGCTGGGATAAGCTCCAGCACGTCCGCGACCCTTGTGAGGATAAGCGGATTAGAAAATGGATGGATGGATGCAGTATGTGGAGCCTTAAAACAGGAGTAATTGGACCAGCTGAGCTTACTTGAAAATGCCGATCGAGGGTGTACCCTGCCTCTCGCCCCAAATAAACTCGAATAGTAAAGTGAGTGATCAAGAAAATGAGTAGATAACGCGGGGAAAAAAAACTTCTGTGGGGGCGCGCGCGCGCACACACACACACACACACACACACACACACACACACACACACACACACACACACACACACACACACACAGTTAATCCATTGAATTGGAGGCATAAACTTCTGCAGCAAAGAATTGAAAACAGACTCTTGTAATGTCATGCGAGAGCGATATACAGTCTTTCCCGGGTTCTGCAATTGTTTCAATATGATCTCATTTCAAGAATCGCTTTCTGTTTCCTTGGAAACTTACAGGGAAAGAGTGAGTCAATTAGTTCTTACCGGCAATGGAAAATTATGCACTTTACACGTTGACTATGCTTCTCACAAATCTCCAAATGGTTTGACACTAGGGGGAAAAATATATACATATATAATTCTACATGAATTTTTCTGTCACAAGACATTGTGTTATCACAGTACAACCTGCTGGCAAGTGACGGTACAACATGAATTGGCTAAGTCGTACTGTACTCTCTCTGAAAGGCAATCTACATTGTGCCAATGGTTGAATTGTGTTTGGATTCTATACTCATCAATAAACAATACACGGATGTACTTTGGGGTACCAAAAAAATGTTTTACTCCTTATTTAAAACATAGCAAATAGTGAAATGTTGAGTGAGTGTGGACATTGAGGGTTGAAACTGAATGTGTGCGAGGGAAGGTCTGTTCCTTAAATTTCCTGTGCAGTGACTCATACTTAATGGAAAAATTGTGCCAAACGTGTCAGTGTATGTTTGTGTGTATTTGCCACACTGGCACAGCATCAACAGCGAGTTTTACCCGAGTGAATTTTACGAAAAGGTAGCCGACTGCAGCAATAACAACATGACTTCTTGATTATGTCATCAGAAGTTTCTCTCACAAACAAACTGGACTTAGAGATTTATAATAATAATCCATCCATCCATTTTCCAACCCGCTCATCCTCACAAGGGTCGCGGGGGATGCTGGAGCCTATCCCAGCTGTCTTTGGGCAATAGGCGGGGGACACCCTGAACCGGTTGCCAGCCTATCGCAGGGCACACACAGACGAACAACCGTCCGCGCTCACACTCACACCTTGGGACAATTTCGAGTGCTCAATCAGCCTGCCATGCATGTTTTTGGAATGTGGGAGGAAACCGAAGTACCCGGAGAAAACCCATGCAGGAGAACATGCAAACTCCATACAGGGAGGCTGGAGCTGAAATTGAATCTGGTACCTCTGCACTCCGAGGTTGACAAGCTAACCACTGGACCATCAGGCCGCCCATAATAATAATAATAATAATAATAATAATAATAATAATAATTATTATTATTATTATTATTATTATTATATATAAAATTATTTTTTTGTGATTCCAAAGTGCCCTCTTTTCCTTGTTTTGTAATGAAATACTTTTTTGAGAGTGCACGCCGCTTGCCTTGTTTCTTCCCTGCACTTGAGTCCTCAACAACACACGTCCTTGAAACTAAGTTTGGTCATCATGTCTGTAAGCTTTTTCAAGTTACTTTGTATAAATGGGATCATCAACTTGTATCACCATGGCAACAACATTTTTTTTAATCGTGTGTGCGTGTGTCATTATCAAAAATGAAGAAAATAAATGCTGTTCCACTGACTGATATAATTAAAAACATGTAAGTTGGTCCTGGAATTAAAAGTAAAATCCTTTTTATCCGATTTAATGTGATGTAATATAAATGCAGTTGCAAACACAATAATGCTCCATTTTGATTTACCCTATCAGTGAAATACTAATTTAATTTTTTTTTCTTTTTGTGTTTGTAGTTTGCTCTCAAGGAACTAATTATAGGCAGCAACATCTTAGAAAGCATTCCATGCCTCCATCTTGTGACCGTACAGTGGTAATAAACCAACAGCTTGCCCCCAATATAGATCCAGTAGTATAAAGCATGCCGCGACCCTTGACCAATATCTAACATAATTTGGCGTCATCGCGACGGCAGTGCTTGCCTATATTTGGCAGGTATACAATATCGATAATCATGTTTACGGCTGTCTAAATGTACACGAACATTCCAGATCAGGCTCCACCATCA